GTGCGGGTTTAAATGACGTCAGAAGGAGTGCACTTTTGGTCAGAGCAGATCAAATGACGTCAGAATGAGTGTGTGTCTGTGTGTGTGTATCTGTATGTTTGTGTGCATGTGTTTGGGTGCATGTGTGTGTGTGTGTGTGTGTGCGTGTGTGTGTGTGTGTGTGTGTGTGTGTGTGTGGTTTATGTATGCACGTGCGTGAGTATATCAGTGTGTGAGTCTGCACGTGTGTGTGTGTGGAGTGTGTGGGTTAAATGACGTCAGAATGAGTAGTGCACTTTGAGCCAGAGCAGATGAATTGACACAGAATGAACAGTGCACTTTTCACCAGAGCAGAAGTAGAGCAAAACCCAGGGTAAACCCTCACCACCACAAGTACACCAAGGCAGGAAGGTGGGGAGGGGGGGGGTTGGAAATCGAACTCGCCATTGCCCACAGCCATATCAAAGATCGTACATAACAAAATAGTTCACTCAGGCAAAAAGAGTGCCCGCGGAAGTCCGCGCATTGCTTCAGATGGCGCTGCAGTCTTTGTTCTTGAAGCTCTCTTTCGTTTCTCCGGTAGAAGAATAGGAATAGCACAGTTCGTTAGTTTCATTGTTATTGCTTTCCACACAAGTAGGGTAAATCTATTCGCAAAGTGAGCAATTTTTTTCGAAGAGGTCGTCCTCGAATTTTGTGGACACTTTTTTAATTGGCCCAAAGAAAGGAGTGAACTATCTTGTTACTCACGATCTTTGGACGTGTATCAAAATGTCCCCAAATGTACTCTTTTGCGTCATTCCAGTTTGCCATGGGCCTCTCTGTTTGACTCTTTGTAATAATAGTAATATAAAAGATCAAGGGGAACACAGTAGAGCTGGGCGAAGAGTCGATTCCGGAACCGATTCCCACGATTAATACTACGGAAGTAAAGTTCCGTCTCCATTTTACGTAAACTAACGGTTACCAGTTACTTTTATCATTAATATCTTCTTTAAAAAAAATAATTTTTTTTTGAAAAATAGAAATTGATGCTTCGAGGTATTCCGAAATCAAGGTTATCCTAAATACTGAAGATGTTCGGAGCCAACCAGGTAACCACCGGAAGAAATCACATCATTAGAAAGTAAGTGATTGGGTTCGGAGTCCATTCCTACGATTCCTAGCTTTCAATAATCGGGAACCTAGCCGCCCAGCACTAGAACACAGCGTGGAACCTGGACAAGAATCACAGAAATTTATGAACAGAAAAATGGGAAGACAAGGAATTAGATCTAGTTTTAGTAGAGGTTTTACGGCGCTCGCAACTGCATAAGGTCATATAAGCGCCCGAGGATTAGAGGTGTTACAAGAGAGTAAGAAACATAAAAAAGAAAGAGGAGAGATAAAGACGATATATTATGTTTGATAGGAAAGAAGGAGCAAACCACACAAGAGCACCCGCCAACCACCCTCAGACAAGGAAAAACATCAAGAGGCTAGCCTAGGATAGAGAAAAGTCAAAAGTGTTTGTCCGTGGCCTATACCCTGGTGCAGGGTGAGAAAGGCATTGATGATGATGATGATGATGATGATGATGATGATGATGATGATGATGATGATGATGATGATGATGATGAATAGTAATAAAAGAGTGCAATTATATTGGGGTCTATCCCCCAATTATGAGAGTATACGCGGGGGGCTCTCGTGGTCTAGAGGTTACCGTGCTTTCCTCTCATTCAAAAGGTCCCGGGTTCGAAGCCTGGCAGCGACGGAAAATCTTCTCCTTTCACCTCTTTTCAGGCTCTCTTACTATGCTCTGCTGTCGGCTTTCGTCTCTACTTTCTGCCCCCACCCCACCACCTCTGGTGTGTTAGCGAGATAGATAGATAGATAGATAGATAG